CCACACAAAAACGTGTATATGATGTTCATAACAACATAATTCTTAATAGCCAGGTGCAATGGCTCACGCCTGTAATCCCAGCACTTTGAGGGTCTGAGGTGAGAGGAGGCCAGTTTGAAACTAGCCTGAGCTCAAAGTAAGACGCCATCTCTACAAAAAAATAAAAAAATAGCCAGGCTGGTGGTGTGCACTTGTAGTCCTAGCTACTTGGGAGGCTGAGGTGGGAGGATCGCTTGAGCCCAGGGTTCAAGGTTGCAGTGAGCCATGATCACACCACTGGAATCCAGCCTGGACGACAGAAATCCCATGTATCTTTAAAAAAAAAAAGGCAATATAATTCATAATAGCTAGAGAAGAAACAGTTCAAATGTCCATTAATTGATGAGTGGATAAACAAAATATAGTATATCCATATAATGGAACATTATTCAGCAGTAAGAAGAAATAAAGAACTGTTACATACTACAACATGGATGAACCTTAAAAACATTACTAGGAGGCCGAGGCGGGTGGATCACCTGAGGTCAGGAGTTTGAGACCAGCCTGGCCAACATGGTGAAACCCCATCTCTAGTAAAAATACAAAAATTTGCTGGGCATGGTGGCAGGCACCTGTAATCCCAGCTACTCGGAAGGCTGAGGCAGAAGAATTGCTTGAACCTGGGAGCCAGAGGTTTCAGTGAGCCAAGATTGCACCACTGTACTCCAGCCTGGGCGACAAGCAGTACTGACTCAAAAAGCAAAACAAAACAAAAACATTATCATAAGTGATAGAAGCCAGATGCAAAGACCATATATTGTATGATCCTATTTATATGTCTTGAATTATTGCAGAGCAAAAAAACAATCTGGGAATTCTCTCCAGAGATGGATGGCATTTCCTTTGCCTATACTTGAATTTTTTTTCTTCCTCAAATCTTACTTTTAGGGACAGCATTAACATTTTATGTTACTTTTTTCTTTTTGTTTTTTAGGACCTTGGTTTGATATGTACCTATCTGCTCGAGACTCCGTTGTTCTGAACTTTAATCCATTTATCGCTTTCAATCCTGACCCAAAATCTGAGTACAACGACCAGCTCACCCGGGCAACCAACATGACTGTTTCTGCCATCCGGTTTCTGAAGACACTCCGGGCTGGCCTTCTGGAGCCAGAAGTGTTCCACTTGAATCCTGCAAAAAGTGACACTGACACCTTCAAGAGACTCATACGCTTTGTGCCTTCCTCTCTGTCCTGGTACGGGGCCTACCTGGTCAATGCATATCCTCTGGATATGTCCCAGTATTTTCGGCTGTTCAATTCAACTCGTTTACCCAAGCCCAGTCAGGATGAACTCTTCACTGATGACAAGGCCAGACACCTCCTGGTCCTAAGAAAAGGAAATTTTTATATCTTCGATGTCCTGGATCAAGATGGGAACATTGTGAGCCCCTCGGAAATCCAGGCCCATCTGAAGTACATTCTCTCAGACGGCAGCCCCGCCCCTGAGTTTCCTCTGGCATACCTGACCAGTGAGAACCGAGACATCTGGGCAGAGCTCAGGCAGAAGCTGCTGAGTAGTGGCAATGAGGAGGGCCTGAGGAAAGTGGACTCTGCCGTGTTCTGCCTCTGCCTAGATGACTTCCCCATTAAGGACCTTATCCACTTGTCCCACAATATGCTGCACGGGGACGGCACTAACCGCTGGTTTGATAAATCCTTTAACCTCATTATCGCCAAGGATGGCTCTGCTGCTGTCCACTTTGAGCACTCTTGGGGTGATGGTGTGGCAGTGCTCAGATTTTTTAATGAAGTGTTTAAAGACAGCACTCAGACCCCTGCCATCACTCCACAGAGCCAGCCAGCCACCACTGACTCTATTGATGCCGTGCAGAAACTCAACTTTAAGCTGAGTGATGCCTTAAAGACTGGCATCACGGCTGCTAAGGAAAAGTTTGTTGCAACCATGAAAACCCTCACTATCGACTGCGTCCAGTTTCAGAGAGGAGGCAAAGAATTCTTGAAGCAGCAGAAGCTGAGTCCTGACGCAGTGGCCCAGCTGGCCTTCCAGATGGCCTTCCTGCGGCAGTACGGGCAGACAGTGGCCACTTACGAGTCCTGCAGCACTGCCGCATTCAAGCACGGCCGCACTGAGACCATCCGCCCGGCCTCCATCTATACAAAGAGGTGCTCTGAGGCCTTTGTCAGGGAGCCCTCCAAGCACAGTGCTGGTGAGCTTCAGCAGATGATGGCTGAGTGCTCCAAATACCATGGACAGCTGACCAAAGAAGCAGCAATGGGTGAGGCACTCACTGGTGGGGAGCATGCCCCTGGGTCTTGTCCTCAGTGCCTGGGGAAGCAAGCCTAAGTCATAGTCTATCCCAAATCTGATTTTTACCGCTTCACTAGGTTTAATCCATCACCAACCCCCAAGATGTTTTTTTTTTTCTACTCTAGCAGTCTGAACAGCCACACTAGCCACCAGGGATCAGAAAGTTCTTGCCTCCTAAGTAGGGGTGGGGAATTGCATGTGATGTTGTCCTTATTTAAGGTCACTTTCATCTGTGACACTTAATTATCCTTTTTATTTATTTTTGGAGACATAGTCTCATTCTGTCACCCAGGCTGGAGTGCAGTGGTGCAATCATGACTCAACTGCAGCCTCAACCTCCTTGGCTTAAACAATCCTCCTGCCTCAGCCTCCCAAGTAGCTGGGACTATAGGCATGTACCACCATGCCCAGCTAATTAAAAAAAAATTTTTTTTGAGATGGAATCTTGCTCTGTTGCCCAGGCTGGAGTGCAGTGGTGCAATCTTGGATCACTGCAAGGTCTGCCTCCTGGGTTCAAGTGATTCTCCTGCCTCAGCCTCCTGAGTAGCTGGGACTACAGGTGCACACCACCATGCCTGGCTAATTTTTGTATTTTTAGTAAAGACGGGGTTTCACTGTATTGGCCAGGCTGGTCTCCAACTCCTGACCTCGTGATCCACCTGTTTCTCCCTCCCTGTGCTGAATTATAGGCATAAGCCACTGTGCCGGGCCTAATTTTAAAAATTTTTTGTAGAGATGAGGTTCCAATGTATTGCCCAGGCTGGTCTCAAACTCCTGGGCTCAAGTGATTCTCCTGCCTTGGCCTCCCAAAGCACTAGGATTATAGATGACAGGCATGCACCACAGCACCCAGCCTCCTTTTTCTATTACTCATTGGGTATCAGACTTACTTTTGAAAATTTAGGATTTCTAAACCCCTCTAACTTCATCTCAGTTGAAGTGTGTGTGTTCCCCGTAAATAGGTCATCCTATTTTTTCAAATGTCATCCATCTTTACCTTTTTTTGATAAAATTCAAGACCTGGAAAGGACCTGGAGGGTCATAGTTGTGCTTTCATGTCGCCATAAAGTGCTGGAAGTGAAAGGGACCGCCAAGACATCCTAGTCTTCCCGTCCTCCATTTTATAGGCAGAAAACCAAGCCATTGGCCCCGTTACACAGCAAATTAGTAGTAAGGCTGGGATTAGAACCCTGGTCAAACAGCCTTTCCATTTTGGTCCCCTGACTCAATCTTCTCTTTTATGCTTGAATCGGACTTGTAGTTTGATCTTAGTTTTTGAGTCCACACTCTCTTCCTGTACTGTCTTGACTCTGACTAAACTGATTTCGAATCTTTAAAATTATGCTTTCCTTTTAGGCTCATTTTTAGCTTAGCTGTTGACAGCTATTTTTCAGTATGCCGTATTTTCTAAATAATTTAAAATATGCTGGCTTGAGCTGTTCTGAAGGTTAGTAAGCTGGTGGTGTGCATAGACGTAAACAGAGCCTTCCCCCACTCTCAAGGATGCTGTGAGGGGGATTCCTACCATGTGGTGAGTGGGGAGGTTCTCCTCGGGTCCTTCTCCATCCCGAGACTGATTTTCCATTTTGCTTCTCACAGGCCAGGGCTTTGACCGACACTTGTTTGTTCTGCGGTACTTGGCAGCAGCCAAAGGAATCATCTTGCCCGAGTTCTACCTGGACCCTGCATACGGGCAGATAAATCACAATGTCCTGTCTACAAGCACTCTAAGCAGCCCAGCGGTGAGCCTTGGGGGCTTTGCCCCCGTGGTCCCTGATGGCTTTGGCATTGCGTATGCTGTTCATGACAACTGGATAGGCTGCAATGTGTCTTCCTACCCAGGCCGCAATGCCCGGGAGTTTCTCCAATGTGTGCAGAAGGCCTTCGAAGACATTTTTGATGCCTTAGAAGGCAAATCCATCAAAAGCTAACTTCTGGGCAGATAAAAAGCTACCGTCACTTCCTCAACATGAAAATTGGGAAGCTGGACATGGTGGCTCATGTCTGTAATTCCAGCACTTTGGGAGGCCAAGGCGGGTGGATCACTTGAGGTCAGGAACTTGAGACCAACCTAGCCAACATGCTGAAACCTCGTCTCTACTAAAAATACAAAAATTAGCCAAGTGTGAATTGTGCCTATAATCTCAGCTACTCAGGAGGTTGAGGTTGCAGTGAGCCGAGTTTGTACCACTGCACTCTGGCCTGGGTGACAGAGCCAGACTGTCTCAAAACAAAACCAAAAAAGAATGGCTGGGCACAGTGGCTCACGTCTGCAATCCCACCACTTTGGGAGGCTGAGGCGGGCGAATCACAAGGTCAGGAGTTCGAGACCAGCCTGGCCAACAAGGTGAAACTGTCTCTACTAAAAATACAAAAATTAGCCAGGTGTGGTAATGGGTGCCTGTAGTCCCAGCTACTCAGGAGGCTGAGGCAGAATTGCCTGAACCCAGGAGGTGGAGGTTGCAGCGAGCTGAGATCATACCACTGCACTCCAGCCTGGATGACACAGTGAGACTCAGTCTCAAAAACAAAAACTGGGGACTGTGCAGCCAGTGGGTGCTATTCTGTGAAACTAATCATGAGCTGCCTAGGAACCAACTACAGGCTTGAGCTTTAAAATCATGGTTTTAAAGCTAAACCTGTAATTTCCGAGTGGGAATAGATCACAACTAAAGATAACGAGAGATTTCAGTTTTAAGTGCATTTAATCAGGAGGAAGGGTTTGGAAAACTTAACTCAGATCTATTTATTGTTTAAGCAGAAATAAAATTTTATTTTTGCTTGAAGATGGTTCTTAATTTTTTTAAACCTAATTCCTAATCCTCACAAAGATCTTTCCAACAGCAAGTTCAGTAAGTTGGGGTTACAGTAAGTTGCCATTGGCTTCTGGCTCATTGAGTGATGGTGGGATTGCAGTTTCGTCTTCTCTACAAACTTGCCCCTCACTGGGGAGATTCCATCTCCTTAAAAATACTCTTCATTTTCCTAAGGAGTAAACTGATGCTGCATGAATTCTTATTTGTGGAGGGAGTAGCTGCCACCTGACTTCACCTTCATGCACCACTGCAGCACGAACAGGGGCTTTATTGATGGGGCTTGGGAAGCTGTAATAAAGTCCAACATGCAGATTGTGAACGTTTGGTACAGCTGCCAGGAGACAAGGGACAAAGGAACCAGCCCCTGTGGGCTCTGCTGCTTAGAGTACTTTGTCCTTTCTCAGTTCAAGTGTGCAGGAAGAGGGATCAGCACTTCACAAACCGGTGGGTGACCTCGTAGATTCCCACAGACTCCTGGGCCTTTTCATCATAGTCAGTCCAGTCCTGGGAAACAAAATAGTAATGTCAGCCTCACAAGGCAGAATGGAACAGTGGAGAGCAGAGAAATGTGACTTAAAAGCCCCAGCTCAGGCTCTGACTCAAATACGCATGAACATGTATGACCCTGAATAGAGCCAGATAGCTCAGGCCTGAATTCTAGCTCTTTCAGCTGTGTGACTGTAGGCAAATCACTTAACTTCTCGGAGCTTCTTCTCCAACTCCTGTCTTCTATTTAAAAAGCAAAAAAAAAAAAAAAAAAAAAAAAGGACAACAATGGATATCATATTGAACATATTGAATGTTGAAATAAGCAAATGAGGTAACACATTTAAAAGCATTCACCAGCCGCTTGCAGTGGCTCATGTCTGTAATCCCAGCACTTTGGGAGGACAAGGCAGGTGGATCATTTAAGGTCAGGAGTCCGAGACCACCGTGATCAACAAGGTGAAACCCCATCTCTACTAAAAATACAAAATTTAGCCACGGATGATGGCAGGCACCCATAATCCCAGCTACTCTCGTGGCTGAGGCAGGAGAATCACTTGAGCCCAGGAGGCAGAGATTGCAGTGAGCCAAGATTGTGCCACTGCACTCCAGCCTGAGTGACAGAGCAAGTCTGTCTCAAAAAAATAAATAAATAGGCCAGGTGTGGTGGCTCACGCCTATAATCCCAGCACTTTGGAAGGCCAAGACATGCAGATCATGAGGTCAACGGATCAAGACCATCCTGACCACCATGGTGAAACCCTGTCTCTACTAAAAATGGAAAAATTAGCTGGGCGTGGTGGCGCACACCTGCAGTCCCAGGTACTCAGGAGGCTGAGGCAGAAGAATCATTTGAACCCGGGAGGCAGAGGTTGCAGTGAGCCAAAATCGTGGCATTGCACTCCAGTCTGCCGTCAGAACGAGATTCCATCTCAAAAAATAAAAAATTAATTAATTAACTTAAAGCACTCAGCATAGTGCCTGGCACACTTAAGAGCTCAGTAAATGCTAGCCGCCATTATTATTAGATGCTACGTAAATGAAGTTTTTGTCCTTCCTTCAAGGCCTGGGCACAAGGCTTTTCTAACTGCAGGCTAGTAATACATCCACTAATATAGACTACTTCTTGTTCTTCATGGTATTAGGCTCAATAAAGCCACCACAAACACTGAATTAGGGAATACGAAATGAATATTCCCAGGGAAAATACAGGGTTAGGTTCCCATGAGCCTCTGGTCATATTTTGATCAACCAATCAATAATCTTACTTTATGTGTTTCTGTTTAAAGATACCTTATTTAATATATACTGTTGATTCCTGAACACCTGAACACAGCCAGCAGCACTATAGCTCATGCCTGAATGAAGCTTATCTAACATGTATTCTCTCTGTAAGGGACACAGCTTTATTACATGTAGGGACATCAGAAAGCACTTCAGCACTATACTTGAGGCCATTTAAACAGCAAAATCACAAAAATACAAAAGCACAAAAATATGAAGTTGGCTTTCCATTGATGAGCCTTGTTCACCAAAAAATAATTCTCACCAGGTGCCCTATAGTACTTCATAAAGCCCCCAAGTCTCATACCTTCTCCTGCAAATTAATGTCACTGAAGACTGTCCCCGACTCCACACCTTCAGCAGCAAACCCAGCCTGCAGGGGACAAGGTGGCAGTTAATCTTGGGAAAAGGAGGCACTGGGCTCTATGTGAGGGCCAGCCAGGTTGCTGGCTCTTCTCACACCTTTGGGATGGAGGGCAGAGATGCCGTGTGAGCACCTGTCTTGGAATACCTGCTGAGCTTCCAGGACCCAGCAGCTACCTCACAACTAGAGTGGTGGTTTCTCTGAATTACAGCCCTGGACTAGAAGGCAGCAGGTGCAGAGTAAACCTTTCCACTACCCATGATTAGCTGAAGGCCCCTGGGCATGTCATTTCCCAGGCTGGACCTCAGTTATTTACCAAATGGGGATGAAGTATTTCCTCTTCTGCTTATCTCACAGATTTGCTGTGAGGTGAAACACTGTACAAATAAAAGGGGACGAGCACTAGCTCTGGAGTCAGATAGACCTGGGTTGAAACTATAGCTCCAAGGCTTACTATGTGACCCTGAGCAAGTTGCAAAATCTCTTCAGTTTCTTCCTCATCTGAAGAATAGGATGAGTAAATTCATAGGGTTACTAAGAGCTTTTTTTTTTTTAAGACAGTCTTAACTCTGTCACCCAGGCTAAAGGGCAGTGGCACAACCTTGGCTCACTGCAACCTCTGCCTCCCAGGTTTAAGCCATTCCCCTGCCTCAGCCACCCAAGTAGCTGGAACTACAAGTGCCCACCACCATGCCCAGCTAATTTTTTGTCTTTTTAGTAGAGACAGGGTTTTATCATATTCGCCAGGATGGTCTTGATCTCCTGACCTCATGATCTGCCCACCTCGGCCTCTCAAAGTGCTGAGATTACAGGCGTGAGCCACCACACCCAGATACTATGAGGATTAAATGTGGTAACATGTAAAAATGAAGGGCATGGGTGCCCAAGCATACAGCAGCCATTTAATAAGGGACAATTATCACTGCTGCTAAAAAGGAGAATGTCTAGTCCAGGCATCCCCAAACTTTTTACACAGGGGCCAGTTCACTGTCCCTCAGACCACTGGAGGGCCGCCACATACTGTGCTCCTCTCACTGACCACCAATGAAAGAGGTGCCCCTTCCTGAAGTGCGGCGGGGGGGCCGGATAAATGGCCTCAGGGGGCCGCATGCAGCCTGTGGGCCATAGTTTGGGGATGCCTGGTCTAGTCCATGGTCTCTGTAGCACAGTTCTGGCTGTCACTTCATACATCCCTTTCCCAAAGACAGAGATTCCCAAGAAAGATACACACACACCTGAGGCTGGAAATCAACTGGTTCAAGGCCTCGGCACTCAAACTCCACTATTGTCTTGAAGTTCTCATTGTCTTCAGTCTAGAAAGAAAGTGTATTGAGGTAGGCCCAAATGAGCTCTCAGAATGACCCTATGGCCCCTCTCCTTCCTGCCAAGTGGGCATTTACTGCCCCTGGAGGCCTAGCATGAGTCCCAAGAACAACTCATCCCCTTCTCAGAGGAAGCCTGCCTTGGGCACCTGCTCCCTATGAGGCTTTCTGTAGACTTGGAGGCTGCAGAAGAAGAGTGTGGATGCTGGGTCAGCCTGCCTGGATGAGAGGTAAGCTGCCTCTCTTTCCCTCTGGGCCCAAGATTCCTAAACTGTCAAATAGAGCCAAAGAAACCTCTACAATTTTATTGTCAGATTTTGAAATGCATACAAAGTGCCCAGCACAGTGCTCAATAAATAGCAAATAAAATTATCAACACCAAAAACATGAACAAGAACATTAAGCTCTTAAGTCTCAGATGATCCAAACAGACCCAGCACACTTAGGCATAGCCCTTTGCTCACCATCTGCCACGCAGCAAGGGCAGAGGGCTGACTTAGAGCCTTTGAAATGGTTATGTATGTGGAGGGGGCATACACGAGGCAGAATGGAACAGTGAGGAGAGCAGAGAAGTGGGACTTCAAAGCCCCAGCTCAGGCTCTGACTCAAATACGCATGAACATGTATGACCCTGAACAGAGCCAGATAGCTCAGGCCTGAATTCTAGCTCTTTCAGCTGTGTGACTGTGGGCAAATCACAGCTTCGTGGGGGGTAGGTGGCCAGGAAATTCATGCCTACATGACCTAGGGGCTTAGGGACCACAAGTGCCATGCCCCCACATTCAGTCTCATCCTGTCACTCACTGTAAAATAATTTCCTGCACACTGACCACATCTGGCACTGGTAACGCACTTCTCTGTTAAACCCTAGTCTGATTCTTGCTTGTATTTTCCACTAAATTATTATTAACTTGTGGGCAAGGCCTCATGTAATTTCTCTTTAACTTCAGGACAGAGCCTAGAATTTGGCACAACTCAAGATACTTTAAATAAATACAGAATATGGAACAGGTGAATACAAATAACTGGCTTTCTTTAAACAAACAGACCTAAAGCACACACTCCCTCACTCACCTTTGGGCTAACTTGTTATGCAGTTACATGTAACTCTTTAATAACGCTGATGCACCATTGTCTACCCCAACTATGGTTTCAGAGAAAGCTTGCTAGTCCTCTAAAACGAAGACAAGGCAAGTGCTCTCAGTGATGCAATCTGAACACCGAGGTTGGCTCACAGTTATACTGGCAACGGCCAATATACCAAGTACTCAGTGCACAGCGAATAATGACTGAGTGAACGAAGAACTAAATTCATGAGTGAATGTCCTATGGCAGGTCACTCTGATGCAGGCATGAGTCCAGAACCCAGACCTACTAACTCCAGTTAGAATTTAACCCCACCATACCTGCCGCTACAGCAGCAAACTTACATTGTAAGGCTTGATGGTGCTGCTTAAAATCTCTGAAACAGAAAAGAGAACACAAAGTTGAATTGAGTCCATGCCCTGGTCCCACCCAGGTGCACAGATGTGGCCCTGGAAAAAAAATCACACTGCACAGGTGTCCCATCTTAGGCCTGACTCCACCCACAGGTAACATGAGCCTACTTTCAGCCTGGTGCCAGGAAGCTGTAGGCCCCCCTGGCAAAAGTCAGTACACACAGCCTGACCTACCGATGGAATTTTCTCTTGCACACAACTTGCACTTCTGGACCATGGAAGCACTGCCACGGCCCCCCTTCAGTGCCACACTGTCCTGGCAAAGAGCAAACAGAACTTTCAGTCACATATGAATTAGATGCAGGGTCCTGAGGAGATCAACCTTATCACTAATTGTCCCGTTAAAAGAGACCAAGACCCAGAGAGGGTAACTTACTAGGACGAGACTCCTGGGGAGCCTTCCTGAGGAAAAGAAAGAAGGGCTTCCCCTTGATTTTGAACTCTGCCTCATACCTCAAAAATGCCTGTTGAACTCAGTCTCGATCACAGTGACATGTGCCCTCCCAAACCACAAAAAGCAGAGAGCAAAGAACTGGAGAGAAGAAGGCCAGTTTCCCCAAATCCCTGCCCAAGAAGTGTATGTGTGTTTGCCAGTGTGTATGTTTGGGGTGGGGATGGGGAACAGTTACCATCAGCCGGATGTACTGCCACTTGTCTGAAATCTCACCACAGTTGCCACATTTCATCTTTGGGGGAAAAAGAATGTTAGTAAAGCAGTTGGCTTAGCTGGACAGACACCAAGGTAAGGGTAAGAAAAGTGGCAGGCGGGCAGGCTCATGACCTACCCTGTTGTTGGCAATCTCACTTCATCTTTAACACCAGCCCCAACAAGGACATACCTAGACTTATCTCTGGGCAAAGGACAAGTAAAGCTGTTTCCTACACCGGCGTGCCCACCCTCCTCCATGAAATGCTCAGTGTGGGTAGGGATTCTAGGCTTTCATGGTATAGCGATGGCTTCAACAGGGGGAGGGGGAAATAGAGATCTGATAAAAGATATGGGAGGAATAAGTTCTAGTGTTCTATAGCACTGTCGGATGACTACACCTAACAACAACAGTCTCAAATAGCTAGGAGGAGGATACTGAATGCTCCCAACACCAAGAAATGATACATGTTTGAGAAGAATATGCTAACTACCTTATCTGATCACTATACATTACATATATCACATCACTATATACCCCATTAATAGGTACAATTCTTATGTGTCAACTAAAAAAATAGAGAAATGGACTCACCAGGCCCCCCATCCACTCTGCTTGGTTAGAAGCTTTATATTCCCACAGGCCCTGTATGTCCCTGGTTTAAGTATTTATCACTGATGTTACTCTATTTTTCCGTCTCCTTCACTAGATTCTGCTTCTTGAAGCCAAAGAACAGATTCTCCGAAGTAAGCCCTGGTATTCAGGCTTCAAAATACTGAGAAATAAAAGCAGTCGGGAGGCGGCTTCCCGAAGAACAGGGCTTTTAAGAGGTAGAGAAGGATGCTGGGATTTAGAGCAGGAGGAAAACAGAGCAGAAGCTCTGGGATCTGAAAGAGTTTAGAGCCTCGAACTGCTGGGTAACGGGAGGCCTCTGCAGACCATGCCACTGGAGTACCAGCTTTACCAGTGTGGGAGGGGAACGTAGGGGTGGATTATGCACAAAATTAAACTATTTCACAATAAAGAAAACCAAATCAGTAAGTGGAAGGCGAATTATTCACCTTATAATCACAACGTCCCTGTAAGTAACATTTCGTTCAGTGTCTGTTTACAGACCAATAAATATTTAACACTGGGAAAAACTACAAAATGAAGCTATCCAAGACTGCCAATTAGAGATAAACCAATACACTTTAATAAAAAGCAAACGTAAAATTCTACCTAGGAAAACCCCGAACACCTAATGTGCCTGGTTAAGTAATTTCTCATACTGCCGGAGAGAAGGCTCCGGCTCAGCACTGAGATCTGGACGGGCCGCCTCTCCCCGGGCCCCGCCCCGGCCGCACCTTCAAATACCACCGGAAGTCTTCGCCCACAGGCCGTAGATTGGTGATGTTCTCTAGCGTGGCTTTGAGCTGCAGCGCGATTTTCTGAAGGGGAGGGCCAGAGCGACTGCGTCAGCCGCGCCTGCGCAGGCCCCCGCCGGCCCGACCCCCCGGATTCCCAGCCATGGATGCCACAGGGAGACAGACATTCCTTCTGCCTCCCGCTCGTTCAGCGCAAGCCCACTCGCTGCTTCTTCTCCTGGCGCGAGCTCTTGGCACCCAGATCCTCGCCACCTCCCCTCCGTGTCCCCGCCGCGGCCGGCCTCCCCTCACCCCCATGGTGGCCCTCTCGGTCCGGCGCTGGCTGCGGCTGTTGCTTTCCGGCGCGTCGTAAAAGACGGGCGCCGTCTGCGCACCCTCAGTAGGACCCGGGGAAACGGCACCCGCTTTTTACGACGCGCCGGAAAGCAACGGCCGCAGCCAACGCCAGGCCAAGCGGCTCACTGCGGGTGGGATCTCTGCTCGCGGCTGTTTGCCTGACCCGCGGGACTTTTCTCATTTGGGGATCTGGGGCTAGTGGAGGTCAGTCAGGTCCGCGAGCAGCCCGTGCTCAGACCCGCGGAAGCCTGACTCCAGGATTCGGTACCACAGACCCTTATTGAAGGCCGATTTTTGTGCCTACACTACACGCACAAGACAGTCCCTGCCCCTCAGTTCTTTTTTGGCTCTTCATGCCTGCGGTCGAACTTCTCATGCTGCCGGAGAGAAGGCTCCGGTTCAGCACTGAGATCAGGACGGGCCGCCTCTACCCAGGCCCTGCCCCGGCCGCACCTTCAGGTACCACCGGAAGTCCTCGCCCACAGGCTGGAGGTTGGTGAGGTTGTCTAGCGTGGCTCTGAGCTGCAGCGCGATTTTCTAAGGGGGACGGCCAAGACCCTTCCTGCCCTCGAACTTCTCAGATCACGTCAGCTCCTCCTCCCCAGAGCAAAAACTACAAAAGGAAGAGTTCCAAGACTGCCAAATAAAGATAACCCAATACACTTCAAAAAGCAGAGCGTATTGCTTTGTCAGATTTGGGTATGGTGCCTTTCTTTAAACCGCCCTTTCCTGTTTCATCCAAGAGACCTGGTTTCGAGGCCCCTCTCCAGAGGGTTCCCCTGTGTCCACATCCTTCTCACTGTGGTCCCTGAGACTGGACACTCCCCTTCAGCTGGCTCTTCTCTGGGGGCCCACCTGGCTTATCCTTCCATCAAAGTTTATTGAACTCTGTTTTACCTGGTCTCCTGTCCAGGCTACATCGGAGACCATGCAGGAGCTGTGGACGTTAACGTTAAAAGGCACAGCTTATTCAAGACTCGTGGGAGGTGGAGCAAGATGGCCAAATAGAACTGTCCAGTGATCCACCTCCTCCTCTACCCTGGCAGGAACACCAAACTGAAGAATTATCCACACAAGAAAGCACCTTCATGAGAACCAAAACATCTGTTAGCAATCACACTACCTGGTTTTAACATCACATCAAGATACAAGGTAATGGCCGAGCGCAGTGGCTCACACCTGTAATCCCAGTGCTTTGGGATTACACTGGGCCGGGGCCGAGGCCGAGGCAGGTCGATCATCTGAGGTCAGGAGTTCGAGACCTATCTGGCCAACATAGTATAACCCCGTCTCTACTGAAAATACAAATATTAGCCGAGCATGGTGGTGCACACCTGTAGTCCCAGCTACTTGGGAGGCTGAGGCAGAATTGCTTGAACCCAGGAGGCAGAAGTAGTGAGCTGAGATTGCACCACTGCACTCCAGCCTGGGTGACAGAAAAAAAAAAAAAAAAAAAGGAACAAGGCAATGAAGAAGGTAGGAAAGACAGTCTTGAATTGCTACCACAACCCTTCCATCATCCTCTGGCAGCAGCTGGCTGCCTGGCACAGATTGAAAATCTGTGGGCTTATGGGACTTTGCATTGGAACTGAGTGCTGCCCGTCACAGTGGAAAGCAACTCAGGGCGGAATTCAACTACTGCTCACAGAGGAAGCATTTAGAGAAACCCTAGCCAGAGGGCAATCATCCATCCCAGTGGTCAGGTTCTGGCGAGCCCCACCACCACTGGCTAAAGTGCTCCAGGGTCCTAAGTAAATTTGAAAGGCAGTCTAGGTCACAAGGACTGCAATTCCTGGGCAAGTCCTGGTGCTGTGCTGGGCTCAGAGCCAGTGGACTTGGGGTGCACACAGCCTAGTGAGATACCAGCTGGGGAGCCAAAGGAGTGCTTATGCCACCCGCCCCCCAACCCCGGGCAGCACAGCTCATAGCTCCAGGAGAGATTACAGGAAAGGAGAGGAGAAAGCAAAGAGGCGTTTGCCTTACAACTTGAACACTAGCCCAGCAACAGTAGAATAAAACACCAAGCAGAGTCCTAAAGGCCCCTTGCCAGGCTCTGTCTCCTACATATTTCTAGAGCTACCATGGGCCACAAGGGAACTGCTGCTTTGAGGGAAAGGACCCAGTCCTGGCAGGATTCATCATCACCTGCTGACCAAAGAGCTGTTGGGCCTAGAATAAACATTAGTAATAGCCACAGTACTGGGCGAGACTCCCTCTGTTTAAGGAAAAGAGAGGAAAGAGTAGAAAGGATTTTGTCTTACAACGTGGGTACCAGCTCAGCCACAGTAAAATAAAGCACCAAGTACATTTCTCAAGTCCAGACTCCATGCCCTAGCTTCTGAACAGCATTTCTAAACCCACCCTGGGCCAGAAGGGAAGCTGCCATCCCAAAGAGGAAGACATGAGCCTAGCTGGATTCACCACCTGCTGACGAAAGAGCCTTTGGACCTTGAATAACATCAGCAGAACCCAGGCAATAGTCACCATGGGCCTTGGGCAAGACCCACTGCTGTGCTGGCTTCAGGTTTGACACAGCTCAGTTCTAACAGTGGTGGCCATAGGGGTGCCCATGTCACTCCTCTCCCAACTCCAGGCAGCTCAGCATGGAGAGACTCCATTTATTCGAAGAAAAAGTAAGGGAAGAGAACAAGAGACTCTGCCTAGTAATCCAGGGAATTCTCTCAGATCTTAACCAAGACCATCAAGGCAGTACCTCTGAGTCTGCAAGAATCACAGCGTCACTGGGCTTGAGGTGCCCCCTGATGCAGTTACAGCTGCAGTGACCAAAGATTTAGATCACAACACTCACTTCCCTTTGAATATTTGGAAAAGCTTTCTGAAGAAGGATGAGTACAAATAAGCCCAGACTGTGAAACTTATAATAAATACCTAATTATTCAACACCCACAAGCATCAAGACCATCCAAGAAAACATGACCTAACCAAATGAACTAAATAAGGTACCAGTGACCAATCCCAGACAGAGATATGTGACCTTTCAGACAGAAAGTTCACTGTCACTGAGAAAGCTCAGTGAAATGCAAGATAACACAGAGAAGGAATTCGGAATCCTGCCAGATAAATTTAACAAAGAGGTGGAAACAATTTTAAAAATCAAATAGAAATTCTGGAGCTGATGCAACTGATATACCAAAGAATGCACCAGGGTCTCTCAACATGCAATGATCAAGCAGGCTGGGTGTGCTGGCTCATGCCTGGAATCCCAGCACTTTGGGAGGCCGAGGTGGGCGAATCATGAGGTCTCGGCGGATCATGAGATCAGGAGTTCCAAGATCAGCCTGACCAACATGGTGAAACCCGGTCTTTACTAAAAATACAAAAATTAGCTGGATGTGGTGGCACGCACCAGTAGTCCCAGCTACTCAGGAGGCTGAGGCAGGAGAATCACTTGAACCTGGGAGGCAGAGGCAGTGAGCTGCGATTGTGTCACTGTACTCCAGCAGCCTGGGCAACAGAGTGAGACTCCATCTAAAAACAAACAAAAAAAAAGAATTGATCAAGCAGAAGAAGGAACTGGTGAGCCTGAAGAAAGGCTATTTGAAAATACACAGAAGAAATGAAAGAAAAAATAATAAAAAGGGATGAAGCACACCTACAATATCTAGACAATAGCTACAAAAGGGCAAATCAATAGGTTATTGGCCTTAAAGAGAAGGTAGAGAAAAATTAGGATAGAAAGTTTATTCAAAGGAATAATAACAGAACTTCCCAAACCTAGAGAAAGGTATCAATATTCAAGTATAAGAAAGTTATAGAACACCAAGGAGATTTAACCCAAATAAGACTACCTCATGTCATTTAATAATCAAACTCCCAAAAGTCAAAGATAAAGAAGGATCCTAAAAGCAGCAAGAGAAAATAAATAACACAGAAAGAAGCTCCAATATGTCTGGCAGCAGGCTTCTCAGGGGAGAGTGGCATGACATTTAAAGTGCTGAAGGAAAAAAAAAAGTTTATCTTAGAATAGTATACCAGTAAAAATATCCTTTAAACATGAAGGAAAAATGAAGACTTCCTAGGCAAACAAAAGCTGAGGGATTTTGTCAACACCAGACCTGTCCTTCAAGAAATGCTAAAGGGAGGTCTTCATTCTGAAAGAAAAGGACATTAACAAGCAATGAGAAATCGGCTGACGGCACAAAACTCATCGGTAATAGTAACTACAAAGACAAATGCAAAATGTTTTGACACTGTAATTGTATCTTGAGTAGCAAGACTAAAAGATGAACCTATCAAAAATAATAACTTCAAAACACAGACAGTGTAAGCTATAAATAGGGCTCAGGTCCGGTGGCTTATGCCCATAATTCCAGCACTTTGGGAGGCTGAAGCAGGTGGATTGCTTGAGCTCAGGAGTTCGAGACCAGCTGGGGCAGCATGGTGAAACCCCATCTCTACTAAAAATACAAAGAATTAGCCGGGTGTGGTGGCATGTGCCTATTGTTCTCGGGAGCCTGAGGTGGGAGGATTGCTTGGGCCTGCGAGGTGGAGGTTGCAGTCAGCCAAGATTGCACCACTGAACTCCAGCCTGGGTGACAGAGTGAGACCCTGTCTAAAAAATAAATACACACACACACACACACACACACACACACACACGCATATACACCAGGCACAGTGACTCACACCTGTAATTCCAGCACTTTGGGAGGCTGAGGTAGGAGGATGGCTTCAGCGCAGGACTTTGAGACCAGCCAGACCCTGTCTCTACAAAAAATGAAAAAATTAGCCAGTCACGATGGCACATTTCTGTGGTTCCAGCTACTGGGAAAACTGAGGCAGGAGGATCGTTTGAGCCAGGGAGGCCAAGTCTACAGTGAGCTGTGATTGCACCACTGCGCTCCAACTTGGTCACAGACTCGAGATCCTGTCTCCAAAAAAACTAAAAACTAAAAATTAATAAGCATGGAGGATGAAGTTAAAATGCTGAGTTTTTATTAGTTTTCTTTTTGTTTTTGTAATCTGTGTTGTCATCAGTCTAAAATGATGGGTTATT